CGCATGTGTGGACAACCCAGCCTTGGAACAACACAGTATGTGCATCGATGGCTCAACTTCATGCAAACTGATGAACTAAAGAATACCTCTCATTATAATCTTTGAACACAGATGTAAATGTAAGCTTTCAGAACCATCCTTTCCATATTGCCAGAGGGAGGACCCAGATGTTACGTACGATGCACTCCAGAAGTATCTGTTGTTGGTTATACGGCAAAAATGAGGACACACTAAAAATCTAGCACCAAATCATTTGACATATAGAATGCTGTCTGCAGTTTTAGGACACCCATGGTTTTCCAGCTATGAACCTGTCGATCCTGTAGTGACGTCTGATGTGGCCCATGAGGTTTTTCCTGTACCATGTGAGTGACTTTCGTGCAAAGCCTGCAGCCAGCTCCAGCAGCGCAATCTGCTAACCGAGACTAACCAAGACCATTTAGGAGTGGTTTAGCCTGGAGATAAGCTCTCCGGAGTAACTGACTTAAGGCGGAAATGCCAGGTCTCTGGAGTTACTAAATGAATGACCTGTGAAAAGAGCACATGTCTGGGGGTGCATGGTCAGCACTCGCCTCCCTCACCCGCAGCTCCTTTATCAAGCGCAGGTGAAGATCAGACATCCACATCTGGTCATCCCCTCCCTCCCCGTCCACCCTCTCTTCCCCTATCCAGCCCCTGCTCCCTGTCCCCACTGATGGGCCCAACTACTGAGTCCTTCTCTCAAAAATTTAAGAGGCATGGGTGGTGGTCATCAGGGGCTTCCTGAGCTAAACCATCACGTAGAAGCAAGAGCAGAACAAAAGTCACTCTGAGCCAAAGTTACTGGCCAGTAGGGGCTGTCAGTGAAGGGAAGAGGCTGGTCTGCAAAGGAGGGAGCAGAAGCACCAGGAGATGCAGAGCCAGGCGACAATGGGGGACAGAGAGCAGAGAGGCCCCCAGGGGAACCACTCACGACCCCGAGAGAGGGTGACTGACTACCGATCTTGGGTCGCAGCTTTCTCATCCCCACATCAATGAGGCCCCGCTCGTCTTTATTTCCTACCTGTGGGTGCTCCGCAAGACTCCCCATTACAGCCTCACGACAACTTGCCCCTTGTCATTCGAGCGGCTTGGAGTCTTGCACTCGCAGAATCTACAAAGGAGGGACACTTTCCCTGCCGAGTCTATTCGGCCTCCTGGGACTTTTGCTGAGTCCCATGTCTGTTCCTTCTTTTCCCTTCCACCCTGTTCGTCCCCCAGGAGGTAGTGGTGTGGACGAAGCCATCGAAACCGCCTCTTCGGCTGCCCAGCCTGAGAAGTCGGTGCCCTGCTTTTCCACAATAGAACCTTCCCAAACCAGCCTCGCTCAGGTCCTCTCGCTGGAAAAACCTTCTCTACTTCCCATTCCCGTCTTCTCCCAGTGTTCTGAAATACTCAGCATTTCCACAACTGCCTTGGCATAGAAGTACTAGGTTTCATCCAATTTATTTTAAAAAAATGTGTTGAGTGTTTAATAAATGCAAAATTCCTTAATAGGAGTTAGCAAAACCAGAGATAAATTCGCAATGGTATCAGCTTTCGGGAAGCGGACAATCCTGGGGACCAGGAGACAGTGCTGCTAGAACACCCGGGAGCGAATCATTCCCCCGGAAGACTAGCTGACAGGAGGGGCTGCTGGTGGGAGCTAGGGAGGAGGGGCTAGGGAGGAGGGCTCTGGGTGGTCCCAGGCAGGGCTTGGTGCACGGAGAGCACATAGCAGTGTGCCCAGGAGAGGGCACAGGACTCGGGCTTGGAGGCAGAGGCCTGTGGGGCCCATTCCGAGCTGGGGGTTGACATCGCAGGCAAAGTCGAGTCAAGGCTCCATATTTGAGGGTTGTTTTCTTTCTTAATTTAACTGGATCTAACCAGCCCTGAAACGCTGTTAGAAGCCGAGGTTAATTATTGAAGGAAAGACCGAAGTGCATCATTCTCACCAGACTACCTTGACGTTCAAGGCATGCCCCCAACGCGGGACAATACGGCCCTTACAACACACACGGAGCGGCAGCATTGCGCACGCGCGTCTCATCTAGGTACGGCAGGATGCACTCCTCATGCAGCGCCCCAGACAGGAAAGGGACGCAGCTGTGCTCTGAGAGCCACTGCACATCCGCGCATGCCAGGAGGAGGGCAGAGGACAAGGAAGTGAGAGACAACAGTCCCCCACACGGCAGCAGAGGATCCCACGCCCCTTTCAAATGGGGACAGGACTCACGTGGGGACAACCGCCCACCAGCCTGCCTGGCAGCCCCAGCCTGAGGCCCGAGCCGGGCATCCCTCCACTGTGGCCCCGAGTGAGTGGCCCTTACGACATGCTCTGGGCTTCATGTCCTTTGGCTACAAGGACACTGCTAACCTGCCATCCTATCAGAATAAGACAAACCCACCTTCTTTGGGCCCCTGTGGCCTTCCCAACCACTCTGACCACCATCTTCTCTGGGGAGGCCACTGGCACTGAGGACGGGCCTGCGGTTGGGGACACACTCTAGGGCAAACCTCACCTCACCCAAGACACTGCCAGAAGAGGAGGCCCTCCTGAGCCTGCCTGGTCTGCTGGCTTGGAGTTGGGGGCCCCACCTGCCCCTCCAGACCCAGAGACCAGCCCCGAGGTGTTACTGTGTAGGAGAGGCAGGAAGCAAGACCTAGCAGACCGAAGGCCGGGACTTGGCAGAGAACCACTGATTCATCCCGATTCAGAATTCACATAAGCCAAAGTACTGCTGGGTTTTCTTTTTCTTCAATTTCCAGGCTTTAACTCCTAGCACCTATTTATTTCCTCTCGAGACACTTTTTTTTTTCCTGAAAAGAAATTCTCCTGCCTACCTTTTTGTTCACTTTTCTGTTTGCCTCCTGTTTCTAGTTCTCTATAAGCTACTAAAGAAAGAAAACATCTTTTCAATTCAACCCAGGAAGGCTTGCAGCTGGTCTCTGAGGCTCTGGGCACTGGCATGGAGTTTTGCAAACATGTACGCATATTCTTTTTACTCCCGAAGGCAACCTTCCATCCAAAAGCTACCCTACATCTCATAAGTTAATCAGCCAACCTCAGAAATGCGGTGGGGGTGGGGGGAATGGCTAGATCTGTCGAGAACTCTGTCATCTGTATGAAGACATCCCAGTGCTACCCAAAGCTACTTACCTGAGCACTTTACTCGTGACAGAAAGAAAGACTGCCTATAGATCCGATTATGCCTACCTACTAAGAGGCTGGGCTGTGAGTGCTTGTTGTCCTCAACAACCTGTTAGCACTAAGGGACTAGAACATTCTGAGCAGGTTGTAGATGAGGCTGGGAGCCACACGGCCCACCCAGAATTCTAGAGGGGATTTTACTGCCCCCTACTCTGATCTGTGAGACTGAGGGAGACCCCACACAGCCTACAAGGCCCATCTGCAGGGATTCCATGCCACAAATTGAGTCTCCTGCTCCTCAACAGTTGTTACAACGGTGGAAGAACTGAATCCATGAGCACACGTTAAACACACTATGTATCCAACACTGTAACAAGCAAATACACAGGAAGGAACAGACAAGGTGGAGGGCCTCAGTGCCCTGAAATGCGAGACAGAAGGTACAGACACTCAGCACAAAAGCTAGAAGCAACAGAAGGCAGGACAGAATCGAGCACAAGTTTTCATAGTGTGATTAGGGCTGCCCTAACTCCTCCGACTCATGCGTAAGAGGCCTCTCCTAAAATCCAGGGTGGGCAGGTATTTCAGGGCACATGGCTGAAAAGAGACTGACGCCCAAGAAAGTAGCGGACACAAGTGTGAGTCTGAAGGGCAAGGTTAAAAAAGCAGCTTTAAGTCTCTTTCCATTCCGGGTTTTCTCCTGACCCTTGCCACATCCGTGGTCAGAGAAACGGTGCTCCCGGGGCAGCATCAGCTGGCTCGTACCACCTCGGGCACCAGAAGGGCAATCGATCGCCTTCGCTTTCACTCGATAACCAAGGTGCTGAATGCTGTACATTTTAAGAATAAAATCCCTCCCGTTTTCACCTGAAAGCTGCCAACCAACAAGGAAGATCCTCTCCGTGAAAAGGTGACTTTGAACCATGGGAGGCGGGTTCACTCCCCTGAGACTGAATTCACTCTTTTTGTTTGCTTGGTTTTCTGTTTGTTTGCCTTGAAGACAGGCTTCTGCTTCCATTTGTGTGTGGGTCCATTTCTTGTCGGTTACGCACAATTACATAACATGCTCTCCACCGGCAGAGCCCTCCTCCCCCAGGCTGAGCCTGGTCCCAACGCAGTGCTGAAGACAAACACACTTTTATGAAGTGATGACATGGGTTTCCTCTCGCCTCAAACTGTGTGCATGGGGGTCGCAGGGCTCCTCTCCCATGCTGGCTCTGTGGCAAGCTGCCCGAAATTTCCTCTTTTTTAGCCCTCCCTCCCCCAGCCAACCCGCCCTCTTGTTGGTTGTAAGAAAACACCCACAGATACAGCTGTATTCAGAAGGGACACCCACACGGGGGCCAGTGTGTGCAAGGGAAAGATGGGTCAGGAGCCAGTGGAATTATACGAATATACAAGAAGAAAGGTTTTCCTTGTCACACACGGAAGGCGATATATAACTCTTTCAACTCTGTAATGTACACAAGATTGAAACCTATTAATAAGAAAGCCTAATGGACTAGGAATGTGTGCCTGACAGAAACTAGCTTTTACAGAGTTTTGAAATGATTCCTAGCTGAGGCAATATGAGCAGCTTATAAGGGAAAAGAGAGGCGGGTATTAGAATGCCGTGTGTTTCACGTGATAGGATTCATTTACTCACCACTATTTACTGAAGGCCTCCTATGGCCAGGCCCCGGGCTCCGTGCTGCCTGAACACCCCAGATACCCCAGTGGAAAGAAGTGTCCTTGTCCCTCACCCTCTCCCTCCCCGGCTCCAGCCAAACACAGGCACTGAGAGATCTGACTTCCATACCCACTGCCAAATCCCCAAGACAAAAGACAACGGTGGGTTCACGCGGACGCTTACCCCAGCTCAGAAGCTCGAGGAGAAGCGCTCTGGGGCTCTCCATGGGCTCTGGGAGCGCGGTGGCTGTTCTCTGAGGTGCTCGCGTGTCCCTTCCCCTGGGACGGCTTGCTGGGGGGGAGGGCTGCCGGGCCATGGTCACACCCATTCAGCAGGCCCTGGCCAGCTCTGGCGCGGCTCCTCGCTTGCCGGTGGCCCTCGCGCTCATCCTCGCCGGGCGCTGGGATACTTCGCGACACCTTGTATCCATGAGAAATCAGGAGGTCTTCTACGCTGTACATAATGCCCCGGCTTCATCAAAGCTCAGCCCCTGGGACCGTGGCGCTGGCAGGACCCACACTGAAGGGAGAACAGAGAGCGGGTTTGTGAGGAGTCCCCGATGCTCCCGAACCGCGCCCGACACCTCCCGCTGCCTTTACTCCGACCAAACCCAGGGCGCGGTGCCCGCATCGGCCGGAAAGAAGCGAGGATCACTCCGCCTGAAGTTATTCTCCATCACATTCAACCCGAGAGGGTGGCCGTGGACGCGGCACGGACCCCGAGGGTCGTGGCGGGAAACCCGGGGGCCCCACCCTCTGCCAGTGGCCTCTGTAGCAGGGTCTGGAACCATGTTTAAGCAACGAGATGATTAACAGTGTCGGCCGTTCCCTCGCCCCCGTCCTCTGAAAACAAGGGGCGTAAGCAGCGAGGACAAAATAAACACAGATTCGGAAGCCACAATTACGCCTGGGAGTCTCTAAAAAGAGCAAGGACCAGCGCCCGGCTTTACCTTATTACCCTTTGCGCTTCCATCCTGTAGCCCTACCTTTGGCTCTCCGAGGGCCGAGCGGGCCCTGTCAGCAGCCGGAGCCCTGACCCAGGAGGGGCCGCGGGGGAAGCCTCTGGACGGCGGCACCACAGCGGGGACCCCACACTTCTCCCCTCCCCCGGGAAATCTGCAAGAATCAGATTTCTCCCCCAAGAAATCTTGGGGCAGCTTTTCCCTCTCTGAGCCTGGGGTGGCCACATCCCAGACCCCAGCAGGGTAACTTCAACAGCGCCTCCTTCCCCGGGGGCCGCCATCCTAAGGCCCCAGCACCTGCCGAGAACAAAAGGAAGGGACTTGAGAGCCCATGTGTAAAAACAGGTGGGGCTGCCATGTTTATTTTTACACAAGAGAATCTTCTTTCCTGTGTCTTCCGGTGGTTCTGGGACGGGCCGCGCCTGGAAGAGCTGCAGGAGGAGGCCAGCGGCAGCCCCGCTTGGCCGGGGGGCGGAAAGCGCGCTGGCAGCCCCCGCGAACAATGGCCGGGAAATGCCTGTGGGCCACGTGCAGGTGAAAGGGAGACACATGTGCTTCCTGCCCGTGCCAATCCCGACTGGGGCCCGCCGCGCCATTCTGCTGACTGGGCGCGTCCCTGCTCTTCATCACGTGCTAGATGACGGGGGAGGGGGGCCCCCAAAGTCCCGGCCATCAGCACAGAGAGAGCATCAGACTTTGGAAGTGGTAATTTCCCATTAGCTCCCTACATTTCATGTAAGGCTGATGAGCTCTGACAGTTACTGTACTGGTGGAAAAGTCTCCAGAGCAATTCTGCCCCTCCTGACGCCCCTGCTACGGGTCTTATGGGGGGTTCTACCACTTGGGGGGTTCACGTAGAGATGGAAGGAGCAGAGCCGCAAGCATTTGTTCTTTGATTCAACAGAGCAAGTCACTGGACTAGAGTCTGCAGGAGAAAGTGATCCTACTACAAGCACATGACTATGGGAACAAAGAGGCCAGGCCACCAGGCCAGGGTGCTTGTTTTGTTCAGTGTTACCCCCACCCCCAGCATCTAGCACATAGTAGGCTCTCACAGCTAACTGTTGAATGAATGCACAAATACGAGAAAGGGACATCTGAGCTAGGTTTGGAAGAATGATTAGGAGTTCACTAGCTCAACTGCATGTGTGTGTGTATGAGAGAGGGAATATAGATTTGGGGTACAATTATCTCGGAAGTAAAGAAATGACATGGCAACAAAATCCTGGTAGCCTAGACCAGGGAGGGTCCCCACACTAACTGGCTCAATGTCCCACATCCAGCGGGCACCCCAGTTAACACTGGAAGTTAGGTCTTACTACACTCAGTTTCTCTCTCGTACTAGGTCAGGCTCTTTAAAAGCCGAGTGTGCTATCCTCCAAGTGGCCATGCAGCACTCAGAGGAGAGGGCCGTGTCCACCACAGAGCCAGCAGGGCTGCAGTCCACTGCCAGGGTGGGAGAAGCATGCATGTGGGGTATTTTCCTCCTGGGGGAGGAGTTGGTCCAGTTGGTCTAGCATGGCCACGTGGGCAGGGTAATTCTCGCAAACCCTCGAGTGGCATGATGACCCAAGCCAAGCCGTCTTCCAAAAAAGATTCAAAGTCTAAGAGCCATAACTTGACTTTACAGGTCTGAGGTCAAAAGTGTACTGATTACTGGAAACGTCTAACTTGTTCTATCTCACGGAGACCAGTTTCCCATGGGGAGCAGGAGCACAAAGCACAGCAGCTCCAGCACTCCTGGAGCCGTGCAGGTGAGCCAAGATGAGAGGGGATGACCCGGAGGCCCCACAACCCAAACGAATGTTCCCAGCCGCCATCCCATCCACGAGGGCTTCTCTCCCTTCGGCTGACACTCTGCACCCTCACATCCCAACTCAGACCTGGGGTTTCTCCTCGTTTCCACAGCCCTGCTGAACATCACTGCTCCCCTGAAATTGACATGGTTTTTTCTGATCACTCTCAGATTCAGCTTACTTTCTTTAGCATCCTTATCTATTTAAGACTTAAGGGGCTGCCTCAAGTGGTAGCAAGCGCCCCATCACGGACACATCGATCCCAGCAGCCACCAGAAGACGCTGACGTGCTGAGGAGACAGGCCTCCAGCGAACTGCTGGACAAAAAGCTGTCCCTTTTAAGAAGAAGAAGATAGCAGGAGGGGAAGAATGAAGGGGAGTAAGTCGGAGGGGGAGACGAACCATTAGAGACAATGGACTCTGAAAAACAAACTG